AAAAATTGAAAAGATATGGGGATAACGGATCACCTTGTAGTAAACCTCTGTAAGTAATGAATGGTGTCCAGATATTAGTATCCTGTTTGATAATTGTTTTGTATTTTCCGAATAACAATCCTATCATATTTATCAAGAGTTCTTTTGCCTTGTATCTCTTCATTTTACTCTGTAGATCGGTAATACTAATCATATCGTATGCTTTTTCAAGATCCAAAAACAGGGCAAACACTTTATGTCTTTTTTTGAGCAACTGGATTTGAATTAATGACAGCAATACAAAGAGGGCTGTCTGAGTACCTCCCCCTTCTACAAATGCAAATTGTGTATTATTTCTATAATTATTCGCCGCTGTCCAGTAATTAAATTTGTCAGCTAATACTCCAGTAAATACTTTACGTAGACAGGACAGAAGGGCTATTGGTCTGTAATTGGTTGGTTCTTGTTTGTTCCCTTGTTTAAATATCATAGTAAAAATAACTTCGTTCCATTTTTCCGGTATTATACTATTACTATAGAATTGATTAAATTGTCTAGTTAAATATCTTATGATTTCTATTGGCAACATTTTAATGATTGAATTTGGTATTATGTCCGATCCTGGAGTTGATTTGTCTTTAAGATTTTTGATACAATCCTGTACTTCTTCTATCTTGATTATCTCATCTTGCTGAATTTCTGGTCTTGTTTTAGTTCCTATATATTTTTTACAAACATTTTTCTGATAGTTCTCAGAGAATTTATTGTAGTATTTAAGCCAAATGTTATATTCTACTTTAGTCTGTTTTTCCAATCCTAACTTTCTTTTACGAAAACTATTAATTATTTTCCAGAAAACTCTCGAATCATTAGCTTCTGATAGTTTCTTACTGATTTTTGAAAAATATAATTTTTTCTTGGCTTTAATTAGATTGTTATACATTTTTTTATATTTTAAATAATTCATTAGTGCTTTACTGGTATTTGTTCTTCTAAAGATTTGTAAACACTTTTGTTTTTTAATTTTATAGCCATAACATGTACTATCGTACCATTCACATTTGAATATTTTACCATTTTGTTGTATACAATTTTTGTATCTATATTCCTCTAATTTTGTTATAATACTCCGATAATTTTCTATTGGATCATTTTCTTTTTCCAATGATAACATCTCTCCAATCATATCATCAAATTTATTCAAGATTTTTTGTTTATTATATGATGGTCTTAATTCCAGATTAATAGAATGACTCTGTTCACAATTATATATATTATTACTTATTTTCTCATATATTGTTAACTCTAACTGAATAGGAAAATGATCTGCAATGTCGTTTTCTAGAACCTTCAAATAGTTACAACAATTTATCATTTCTTCTGAGCAGATAATGTAATCTACTATAGATTTCCCACTTGGAGAGACAAAAGTAATTTCTGCAGGGGTGTCACCTCTCATTCTACCATTTAGAATTATTAGTTGGTTATTATCAATAAATTCTAAGAGTGCTCTTCCCCCTGTGTTTAACACTTTATCTTTGGATATTCTCTTATTGACTAAATTTTCAAACGTCTGACAAAATATGGTATCAGTAACTTCACCAATACGTGCATTTAAATCACCACCTATTATCCACATTTGTGTCAGATTAGACCATCTATCCAAGACCTTTTGTACTTCATTTAGAATTGGTTTCTTCTCAATAGAAGGTGGTATATATATTCCTATTACTCCCATATATGTGTATGACCATCTCATTTTTATTTTATTCTCTAGTTTTATTATAACAGCAATAACATGGTCCGTTGTATATTGTAAAAATATTTCACCAAATCTTTTCTTAATTAGTAGTAGAATTCCACCTGATGGACGTCCAAATTTATTTTTTCGTTGAGCATTACTAATTATTATATTATTGTCTTGTTCTAGATATTTTATTTCCATTTCACTAAATTTTATAATCCAGGTTTCTAAAAATCCAATTATTTCATTTGAATCCAGAAATTTTCTCATTGAGGTTTTAAATAATTTCCCTCTTAGTCCTTGAATATTCCAGAAGTTTATCGTCACATTATTTTTTACCCTTTTTGGAATTTCTACTGTTTTCTCACTCAATTCATTTACTTTGACTATCAATTTATCTCCACTCATTTTCTTGTTTTTATTCTCCATATTATTAGCCACTCTTTTTTTTTCTGTATTGTTTTTAAATTTTGATTTATTTTTGTTAATCTTGTATTATATTTATCTCTAAAAAATGATTTAACTGAATTATTTCTTTGGTATTTAAATCATATGTATACATTATATTAATTTTAAAAAAATAATCATCTCTAATTTTTTTCTTATCATCCGATTTCTCTAGTTTAATCGTTTTTAATAATAATTTTCTCCTGATTCTAGATCTATAACATAAGTCCGTTGATATTATTATTTTTTCATTTTCGTCCGTCATTTTCGGTCTTGTAGTCCAAAATTTATTAAAAATTAGATTTCTAATTTTAACCGAATCGGTCATAACCTTAATTACTTGATTATTTCTTCTATTTCCAATTTGAATAAGACCTTCGATTTCTATACTATTAAGCTCTAAGTTATCTTTTATAAATTTTTATATGGTCTAACTAACGTACTGTACCTGTACATTTTACAATTTACCTGATTTTTTTTATCAACGTGGAATTAAAAAGACTCGCAATTTTGTCAAAAAATGCCCAGGAGAAAGTATAAGAGTACAATTGGTCAAATGAATTCTAAATCTAAAAGAATAAGAACAATCGAGACCCCTGAATACCGAGAAGTTCGACTTGAGCAACTTCCAGTAAGAATTGCTATGTGAAGGGCTGCATCTCTACTCTTTTCAATTCTTTAATCTCTACTTTCCTTTAAAAATATTCAGTTATGCTTGACGGGAAAATTTCTAGTTGTTGCGTATTGATTTCAATCAATATTTAAAATGGAATAATGTTTATGATATTTTTTAATAATTATTAAAAATTGTTTTTTCTTCTATCGAAAGAAACCGCCAAATTTTTAATTTAGGGCTTTAAAAGCATTTCTTTATTTTCTAATTTTATTTTTATTTTGTGGTTTTAGGCCCTTTACCACTAAGAGAGCACAATGTTTTTCTAACTTAAACAAGTACAAGCATATTTTTATTTTTAAACTGGCCCAAAATTTAGTAACATAGAGCCATAGAAATATTTCAATCTGCTACTCGTGGCCCAGTCTTGCAATCCCAAAAACCAGCCGTATGTTATGAGATAAGAAAAAAAGTATCTTTTAGTAAAGTTACACCCGAAATTGTGTTACTGTTAAAGCAAAGCCATATCCACCAGATCAGAGTTGTTCTTGGTCTATTGTGATCTTACAGTATGGAGGCACTTCAATCTGAACAAACGAGTTAATATATCACAGTTCAGACAAAATTTTCACTTTTAATTTCGAAATAATAGAATTCCTTAACACATAAATCTCTATATCACCCACCGGGACAATAGGACAGTTAAGTACTAACGAGATTTCGAACCTCCGAGTTCGAGTTAACGAGGATTTCCTATATTAGAAATTAGAGTAAAACGTGCATTGTCTTAATTACTGATCGAATAAATTAATTTTGACTATAATTAACTCAAGAAACGATCGATACAAGAGTTATTTATTGAAGAAAGTTATACATATCGACATTGTTATTACATATTAAAAATTTACATATTCATATAAAGTTTTAATAACGAAATTCACTAAGAAGTCGCGTTTCCAACAAACTTTGGATATACAGACAAAGTTTACATATAAAACAACAGAAAATTGCAATTAGGAAATTACAACACATTCAAAAAGTTTAAATTTTAATTTTAAAACCAGTTTTGCTTGAATCTTTTGATCATTATACACAAATAGAAATTATATGTTTCAAAGAAAAATTATTTCTAAGTGTGACCATTATAATCTTTTTTTAGTTCATCGTTTCGAATGAATTTCACTCGACATAATTAACATTCATACGGTTTTCTCTGGTATGTGTCCGAAGGTGTACAATTAAGCTTCCTCTATGCGCAAACTTTTGTTTACACTCGTCACAAGTATAGGGCTTTTCTCCTGTATGGATTCTTTCATGAGTTTTCAAACTTTGTTTAGTTGTAAACTTCTGTTTACATATGTCACAACTGTAAGGCTTTTCTCCGGTGTGGATCCGAAGGTGTGTAATTAAGCTTCCTCTATGTGCAAACTTCTGTTTACACTTGTCACAAGTGTAAGGCTTCTCTCCGGTGTGTATTCGAAGATGTAAAATTAAGTGTGCCTTTTGCGCAAACTTCTGTTTACACTCATCACAAGTATAGGGCTTTTCTTCTGTATGGGTTCTTTTATGAATTTCTAAACTATGTTCAGTTGTAAACTTCTGTTTACATATGTCACAATTGAACGGCTTTTCTCCAGTGTGGATCCGTAGGTGTGTAATTAAGTTTCCTTTTTGTGTAAACTTCTGTTTACACTTGTCACAAGTGTAAGGCTTTTCTCCAGTGTGAGTCCGAAGGTGTGTAATTAAGTTTCCTTTTTGTGTAAACTTCTGTTTACACTTGTCACAAGTGTAAGGCTTTTCTCCGGTGTGTATTCGAAGATGTGCAATTAAATGTGGCCTTTGTGCAAATTTCTGTTTACATTCATCACAAGTGTAGGGCTTTTCTTCCGTATGGGTTCTCTTATGAATTTCTAAACTTTGTTCAGTTGTAAACTTCTGTTTACATATGTAACAATTGTACGGCTTTTCTCCTGTATGGATCCGAAGGTGTTTAATTAAGTTTCTTTTTTCTGTAAATTTTTTATTACATTCGTCACAACAGAATGGTTTTTCTCCAGTATGGACCCGAAGATGTCTAATTAAGTTTCCTTTTTGTGTAAATTTGTGTTTACACTTGTCACAAGTGTAAGGCTTTTTTCCTGTATGAATTCTTTCATGAGTTTTTAAATTTTGTTTAGTTTTAAAATTCTTCTTACAGTGTTTACACGAAAATCTCATTTGTTTCCTTTTCTCTGCAATTAAAAAGTAGTTTGAAACGATATTTTATCGATATATAATAAAAATTTTCTTAATCAAAACAATAATTAATTAACAATAATATTTAATTAAATAATAATTTCTATATCTAAAAGCAATTTCTGCATCAAAACACAAAATCTAATTTTAGAAGTGATAAAGTTCGAGTGTATATATTTTATTTCACTAATATAATCAGCTAAGCAAGAACAATATATTAAAGTAAACAATTTCTGTAAAACATTTTTCATGTGTATTTATATCTTCATGATATTTCTTTTTATATCTTTGCAGTGAATCACTTGCTTCTGTTATATTTTTAAATGAAGAGCACTGACTTAAAGCAGTATATCTTATATACAATTTTTTCTATAAACTTGGAAAATATTTTCTTCAAAACTTTGTGTTTCATCCAAAGAACAACTGAAAGTAATAACAACACACATGAAATAAATTCTATAAAAAATTTAATTTAATAAGTTTTTAACATTAGAATGTATTATTCATATTCTTATTAATTCCTATTGTTAAATGTAAACTTGTATAATATCTTGCATTCAAATAAAAGAATATTGTATTTTTAAGACTTATGTTAAGTATACTTCCCTCATAACAAGTTCTGGATAAGAAGAACTCACAACGTTGGAATTCTTAAGATTGAATCAGGGAATTAATTCTTTTATTATCTTCGTTTGTTGCTTGTATTTTCAGGATAAAGATTAGCTAAATGAAAAAATAAAACGATCTTAAATATCAGAAAAATTTATATTCAATGTATTTTGTACAGTACAGTGATTAAAAATTCTATTTTCTACTCTAAATGTTTTAAAGTACAGTATATAAATTTTAAAAAAAATAAGCTACAATCATTATCAAGTTGTCATATTTACAGGGTAGCTAATGAATACTTTAATATACTTTAAATATGTTTAATGTCATGGTCCTGCGATAACACACTTCAATGGTCTCCAGTTTTATTTATTCGCGTTTTTCACGAACTATAGAGGACGCTGCACTTTTATAAAATGGCTACTTTATCTGGGTCGCTTGTAACACGTGCGACTAAACATCCGGATGGCACAACGCGCTGATTGGTCAGCTGTATGACGTCAACCTACTAAAATCGGAAATGTTGATCATCAGCCTAAACTTTGTATTGGTCTCCGTTGCCGCTCATAGCGGTGACCAGACCCTAAACACTGGGACCCACCAGTGGGCGAGTGGTCTCCGTTGCCGCTCATAGCGGTGACCAGACCCTAAACACTGGGAAGTTCGGTAGTGGGTTCGCGCCGCGATCGGACAGGCTGGCTGCTTGGAGTTTTCCGGGTTTTCTCCTTGCCAATAACGACTGAATAGGAGGCCAGTTCCCCATAAAAGTCCTCCCGGAAGCCATTAATTTCCCGCGCGTACGTATAGGCTGTTCGATACAGCCGGCAAATCGGTCGCATAGCGATCATACACACACATGTCTATTCGGAGAAAGAGCCTACATTGAGCTAAAATCTGCATATTAACACCACCGAAGAAGAAAGAAAAAAAAAAAAACTTTGTGTTGTTGTGAGAGCCGGCAGACATTATATAATAGTTATAGAATTTCATCTAAAACTTGATAAAAGGCACTTATTTATAATTTCACTAGCTCTTGTGTGTATTACATTAATTGAAAATTTTGCAATAATTTTAACATTAAACTAAGTTACGTGATATCACATTTTTAAACATCAAGAAGTAACTTTTATCTGTTTTGTATTTTTTAAAGCTTTCTTATACATTTACTTTATAATAAAATAATCAAAACAATAAATATAAATTTCAATTTAAGTTTTTTTTTACATTCTTTATTAGAAAATACAGTATTTTATACCTTACAGAAACTTGTATTTAATGTTTTATATAGGGGAGACCGGGGCAAGATCGGCATGTTAAGCTTTACTTAAATTTTGTGTAATAAATACTGCTGTAAACTAAAAAAAAGCTTTGCATATTGTCTATTGGAATGTTACCTTACTATAGAACTGGTTAAAATCAGTTTGGAAATAAAAATAATTAAAATAATTACAACTTTACAAGAAGAGAGAAATTGACGAAGTTGCCNCAGTTGTTTTTTTAACCCAGGAAATATCCCAGAAAATCCCACAAATTTCTTAAAAATTCACTTTTTTCTTATTTTGTGTTAAGATTCAGGAAATTTTGCAAATAGAAAATATAATTAACTCAAACTATCAGAATGCATTTGTATTTATTAATTTTAAACTTACTTATTAGATTTTTAAAATTTTTCCTCGTTATGGCATGTCACAAATGGTCAATAATCAATATGTAGCTTATTTGTGGCAGGAATCAGAAAATTCTTTACTTGTCAGAACCTGTAATATATGGAATAATTGTGCTTACACTGTCTTAATTTTTAACCATGCCAAGTAGCTTTGATAACTGCATAATGCCAGATTGTGCAAATTGGGCAAGGATACAAACGAGTACAAAGTCTGCAAATATGAAGTTTTTCTTCATAAACCTGATTATTAAAGACAAACAAACTGCTGAATTATTGGGCCATAAACTTGATGTTTCTATTAAAGTGCTGAGGTAGACAAATCAAGAATACAAGACAGCAAAAGAAGTATTACAATCTCGAAAACAAACTAGAACCCTTCCAGGCGACGGGTGAAAAAACACATAACATCTGTCTTCTCTTAAATGCATTAAAGACGATTCCACCCACATGAAATGAATCAGAAAGCGCATTCTTGATAGCAGGAGTTTTTATTAGTTAAATAAGAACCAGATCGAGTGATTGGAACATTGACCATCTTTGCTTTTTAAAATGGGTGTGGCTATTTATACATACTGACTGTATGTTCCTATATTCTGGCCGGATACTGACTGTATGTGCTATTATAACAATTAATATTTTGATAACAACTACACAATTATAAATAATTATAGTTTTATTTACTAAAGGTCAGTTACAATGTTGTTCAATAAAGTAATCAATAAACTATGAAGTATCATTAAATCAGTGAAATATAAGTAACAAAATTGAAAGTAGATTGGTAAATATACCAATAAAGTAAAATAAACATATTTTTTATTATGTATTATGTATTTTTTTTTTTGTAAAAAGTGGTCTGCTTATCTTTCTCTTCGGATGTCCTTTGAATTTAATTTTAGTTTTGAATTTTAAGTTTTTATTTGATTGATTTGAACAAGGCTCGTTATTAGACCAAATCTGTTCTTCAGGTTCTTCTGGTTCAGTTGTACTAAGCCACTACTCTCATGATCAAAAAGAGAAATTCCGTTTCTTGCATTGCTTTCTATTACTTTTAATTCCTCTACATATTTATTGAAGGTTTGCGTTCCATAATTAGACAAAATATCTGAAATATTTTTAGTTATTGCCAGTGCCGTATTAAATTTTTCCCTATCCGATAATAATTTCAATAATCAAAATCATCAGTAAAAGTTTCATCTTCAATATGATCATCAATGTCTACATTTACATCATCTGTATCCATACTTAGTACATCTTCAATTGAAATAATATATCTTGCATGAAAGCATTTTTTAAAATATGTCCAAATTATTATATTTTCTTATCATAAGAATATGACGACATGGTGTAATAAAATAATTCCAAAATGAACAAGAACATGTTTCCACCAATGTATTATAAAATTTTGATATTTTGCTATCAGGATTTTCCTCAATGCCATTATTTTTAATTCTCATTTCAACGATTTAATTCTCATTTCTCGATAATTAATATAACTAGGATATCGATAATCGAAATTTACAATATCCTAAATTATAAATAACATTAAAACTGTCATCTTTATGTCATGGCTTTAAAAGCGTTAAATAGCCAATTGCAACTGTATATATAAATAGTCAATTTGTTTTAAAATCCTATTATAAAAATTTCAATAATATTTTGTATTATGTTTTATTTAAAAAAACGAAAATTACCCTTCAAGTTAGAAGTTTGATCTAAGTTCATTTTTTCTGAAATTTTCAACTCAATTCAAAGCATTTGTTGTTGTTGTTGTTGTATGCAGTTTCCAGCAAACTTTAATAAATTTTTCTATTTATGAAAATTTCTACATAATTCAAAAGTAATTTTTAATATATTTTTTACACAGAATTATTAATATGATTTTGGAAGTTGCAAAATGTATTAAATTACTTTAAAAAATGAAAAATAATTATATCATTTGATTTCAAGATATTTTGTATAACTTAAAAATAATTAATTTTATCTCAGGATTTCCTGCAATCCCGTTCACTTTTAACCCTGAATCCCGAGACAAGCAAAAGACCTGGAAATGAGAAACCCTACTTCACATAACAGAAAAATCGCAACGGATCACGTGATACGAGCCGCAGTTCGGCATACTGAGCTAAAAGTCTTTGAAAACAGTTGTTTGTGGACGTTGGCATGTTATTCCCTTGAAAGTTTCATGGAAAGACCTGTTTCTAGACAGATGTGCGTCAGTTACCGTAAACACTCAAATATATCACTAAATTTTCGATTATTTAAACTCTTTCAATAAGTGGGGACCACAGAAATGGTCCAAAATACAGTATAAACTTCTATTGGGTTTATGTTTTTAACAACACAGTGAAAGGAAGTTATTTTTTGCGATTTTTACTGTCCACAAAACTAATTGAAAAAATTTTAGCCATAACAATGCCGAATGAAAAGAAAGGATCGTCGTTAAAAAGGAAATTTATAACTCTTCAAAGATAGAAATTTTGGATCGAATTAAATATCAAGAGCGGATAGCTGATATCGGTAGGCATTTTAATTTAAATGAGTCGACGATTCGGTCGAGAGAAAAGATCAGAAATTTGGTCACATCCGGATC